ATATTGCTGTCATCTGTCACACACTAATTGTGTGTGTACACATTTTAAATAAAAATATTTAAACGTATCTAAAAGCAGTATTCTCTCAGCCTTTTCTTTTACCTGGAGAATTCACCCCCTCACTTTCTAGCCCGATTCAGCGCCTTCAATTCATATTACCATTACAATATTGTGAAATTTGCATATGAAAAATAAAGACAAACATAAATTACATAACCGTATATTACATATGATATGTAAATTATCAAAATGATATGTTTTAATAACTAAAAACTAATTAAACTGCCAGACTTAGACCCCAGAGGTTCACAGACCTCCAGCTGAAAACCTTACATCTAGGTCAATAATGTCATTTTTGTGGGATTGTACGAAACATTGTATGCGTTGTGTGCATAATTGGCTGACTGAAATCAAATGGACAGCACCTTTTCTGTGTCTGTGTTTTCAGAGTCGAGGGTGAGTTGCCTCAGGTCAACACTGTGTAACCGCCGACCACTCTCATAATGCCAGACCTTCATTGTGCCATCCTGTGAACACAACATGTCAGTCCTACTGTATTAAGACACTTATATCCCCCTTATAAACTATCCCAACAGAATATTACAGTAAAACAATGAAGGTAAACTGAAAAAGCACATACTCCTGAACCAGAGAGAAGCCAGTCAGGATGTCCCGCAGGCACAAGCAATGCACTGACAAATCTGCATGAGAAAACAAACATGTTTGAACAAGTGGGAACAACATATGTGACCCTGGAACACAAAACCAGTCATAAGGGTCAATTTTTAGAAATTGAGATTTATACATCATCTGAAAGCTGTATAAATAAGCTTTTCATTGATGTATGGTTTTGTTAGGATAGGACAATATTTGGCCGAGATACAACTATTTGAAAATCTGGAATCTGAGGGTGCAAAAAAAATCAAAATATTGAGAAAATTGCCTTTAAAGTTGTCCAAATGAAGTTCTTAGCAATGCATATTACTAATCAAAAATTACGTTTTGATATATTTACAGTAGGGAATTTACAAAATATCTTCATGGAACATGATCTTTACTTCATATCCTAATGATTTTTGGCATAAAAGAAAAATCAATAATTTTGACCCATACAATGTATTTTTGGCTATTGCTACAAATATACCCCAGAGACTTAAGACTGGTTTTGTGCTCCAGGGTCACATATGAGATGTAACATCACTTGCTTCCCACAGTCCACACTTACTCTCTGTGCTCTAGACAGAAAGCCTGAATGTTGTAGGGTGACCGCCGGAAACTCACTCGGATCTTCTCATCTCGGTCGGCTGTTATGATATATTTATCATCAGGAGAAAGAGTCTGTAGAGGAAAACAAAAAAGAACTAAATATTAAACCATGTTTTTAAAGCTAAAAATTATATTAGGTACTGACTTCACAATTAAGTGAAAACAAAAGAGAATTTTAACTATTTTTGTTTGGGTGCTGCATTAACTCCCTGAATCAACAAATAGCACTTTAATAAAGAAATATTTCAGCCATTTATTATTTTACCATCTCTAGAGGTAAACGCAAAAAGATAAAAAAGCTAGAAATCATGTTAGTTAATTAAGTAACTTCATAAGTAAGTGAAAATAAACTGAAATTCCAATATTTTTGTTTGGATACTGCGCTAACTGAAAAGCACTGTTCTGTTGGTGTCCATCATACCACATCCAATAACATGGAGAGATGTCCCAGCTTCAGCTCTCCTGGTTTTTGTGGCTCCAGAACAGAGAATGAATATACATCTCCAGACTTATCAGCCACAAAGACTTCATCCTCAGCCTGAGTAAATACAAGAGACGTGCATCGCCGCACCACCCACCTACAAGAGGACAATCACGGACTTATACACTGAACCTTACAGAGAAATTAGTACCGAGGGAACAGTTCGGCCAAAAAGAATAATTACATCTACATCAGAATTTACTCATCCTTATGTTGTTCCAAAACCATCCCGAATGACTTTTTGAAAACTAGTATTCTAGCCACATTTTTCAGTTTTGATTAAAGTGTAGAGTGGTCCACAATAGACACCAAATAGGTGAGTCCACAAAAAAAGTGCGTTCCCCAAAAGAGACTGACAAATCTGCATGAGAAAACAAACATGTTTGAACAAGTGGGAACAACATATGTGACCCTGGAACACAAAACCAGTCATAAGGGTCAATTTTTAGAAATTGAGATTTATACATCATCTGAAAGCTGTATAAATAAGCTTTTCATTGATGTATGGTTTTGTTAGGATAGGACAATATTTGGCCGAGATACAACTATTTGAAAATCTGGAATCTGAGGGTGCAAAAAAAATCAAAATATTGAGAAAATTGCCTTTAAAGTTGTCCAAATGAAGTTCTTAGCAATGCATATTACTAATCAAAAATTACGTTTTGATATATTTACAGTAGGGAATTTACAAAATATCTTCATGGAACATGATCTTTACTTCATATCCTAATGATTTTTGGCATAAAAGAAAAATCAATAATTTTGCCATCATAGGAATAAATCACATATGAGATGTAACATCACTTGCTTCCCACAGTCCACACTTACTCTCTGTGCTCTAGACAGAAAGCCTGAATGTTGTAGGGTGACCGCCGGAAACTCACTCGGATCTTCTCATCTCGGTCGGCTGTTATGATATATTTATCATCAGGAGAAAGAGTCTGTAGAGGAAAACAAAAAAGAACTAAATATTAAACCATGTTTTTAAAGCTAAAAATTATATTAGGTACTGACTTCACAATTAAGTGAAAACAAAAGAGAATTTTAACTATTTTTGTTTGGGTGCTGCATTAACTCCCTGAATCAACAAATAGCACTTTAATAAAGAAATATTTCAGCCATTTATTATTTTACCATCTCTAGAGGTAAACGCAAAAAGATAAAAAAGCTAGAAATCATGTTAGTTAATTAAGTAACTTCATAAGTAAGTGAAAATAAACTGAAATTCCAATATTTTTGTTTGGATACTGCGCTAACTGAAAAGCACTGTTCTGTTGGTGTCCATCATACCACATCCAATAACATGGAGAGATGTCCCAGCTTCAGCTCTCCTGGTTTTTGTGGCTCCAGAACAGAGAATGAATATACATCTCCAGACTTATCAGCCACAAAGACTTCATCCTCAGCCTGAGTAAATACAAGAGACGTGCATCGCCGCACCACCCACCTACAAGAGGACAATCACGGACTTATACACTGAACCTTACAGAGAAATTAGTACCGAGGGAACAGTTCGGCCAAAAAGAATAATTACATCTACATCAGAATTTACTCATCCTTATGTTGTTCCAAAACCATCCCGAATGACTTTTTGAAAACTAGTATTCTAGCCACATTTTTCAGTTTTGATTAAAGAGAAATAGGTGAGTCCACAAAAAAAGTGCGTTCCCCAAAAGAGAGAAACTTAGACGGGTTTGTAATGATATGTGTGATGGTGAGTAAATTTGAGTGTGTGCTGTTACCGGGTACTAATGCACTGCCACGATGGCTCAGTACAGAAGAGAACAAGACGTTTGTGGTCATCAGTGAGCGCTGCATGCTTCCCAGACGCCGAGACAGCAAATGCAAGAATCCTGTCACTGCCACTCTCCTTCTCCTCTGACCCTTCCCCAGCACTGCAATACACAGATAAACATTATAAGATCTTTTTTTGCAATCCTCTACGTCTTGTGACATAACCCTCAGATAAAGAACTCATAAAGAGAAAACAAACATACAAAAATAGTTACCTTTTACTATCACCATCAGCTTCCTTTGGTTTTGTCTCAGCTTTGGCACAGTCAAACACAAACGGCTCTCTATCAGGAAAAAAGGAACTTTTTTTTTCCCCAAGTACAAAAATAAAATAAAAACAAGTAAAAGGAGCAAATAGACAATATTGAATTTGAGAGATTATCAAATATAATGCTAAAATATCAATGCTTTAGTCCTCTGATCGGATTTTTTAACACAAAAAATGTTAATAACGCAATCATTCTGCAGTACTGACAATAGCACAGCTGATTGGTTTATGTATGGATTCTTAAAATAAAATAATATCACAAATTCAAAATAATGAATGTTTTATGACATTTTTACTATCCTGTTTGAATTCAACCTAAAAGAAAAGATCAAAACTGGTGTTTTATTCATCCAAATGCAGTATAGATAAAGAACTCATAAAGAGAAAACAAACATACAAAAATAGTTACCTTTTACTATCACCATCAGCTTCCTTTGGTTTTGTCTCAGCTTTGGCACAGTCAAACACAAACGGCTCTCTATCAGGAAAAAAGGAACTTTTTTTTTCCCCAAGTACAAAAATAAAATAAAAACAAGTAAAAGGAGCAAATAGACAATATTGAATTTGAGAGATTATCAAATATAATGCTAAAATATCAATGCTTTAGTCCTCTGATCGGATTTTTTAACACAAAAAATGTTAATAACGCAATCATTCTGCAGTACTGACAATAGCACAGCTGATTGGTTTATGTATGGATTCTTCAAATAAAATAATAATATCACAAAGTCAAAATAATGAATGTTTTATGACATTTTTACTATCTGTTTGAATTCAACCTAAAAGAAAAGATAAAAACTGGTGTTTTATTCATCCAAATGCAGTATAACAAAATGTGTATTTATCACAGATAGTTTGGCATTCATTTCAAGTCAACGTGTATCAAGCAAGCTGATTTAAAACGTAAGAAATAAACATAACAGTATGTAAACAGTCATGTATAGAGACCATAGTGCAATAGGATTCTGCAGAATGCACATGGACACTTAAGGTATATCCAAAATAAAGAGCTGGAAGCGAATAGACAGTTGGCAGTCTAAAATACAGCTACTCACCTAGACTGTTTAAGGTTTATAGCAACTAAACTAGTAGAACAGCTTGAAACAAACCAGTCTGCCTTTGAACGCACTACTGCCATGATGATTGCTTTTCACGTGCGCACTGAGAGTCGCACATTTAATACGTCATTAATACAAAAAAGCAGGAATCTGGCTTTACGACACCGCCATAAAGAGTGTACCGAAGAAGACACTTTTGCTACTAATAACACTTCGGTATTATTAAAAACGATTTATTAGTATTCTATTTCACTTAATATTTTACATTGTTAGGTGAAAAAATATATAACCTCGTTTGTAAAGGACATGATTACAATAATTGTATTGGTGTGGTTCATGAGGGGCGTGTCTGTTATGCACGGGCGCTTCTTTAGTGTGCTGTGCTTCAGTGTAACATTTCTTTTTACTTTGCCAGGATCTTTATTGAGTTTAGTATCTGTCGTTCGTGAACATTTCATCAAACTGGAGCTTTGATTTAAAGATTTGTCACAGTCAGGTGACTTAAGGATTCAGTGGCACACAGACCTGCACAAAATAACACACCATCTAGGTATTTTTTCATTTTCTTGTAAATGATGTGCATAACAAACACTGATCACTGTCAATGTTAGCTATTGCATTTTATGTGCAATCTGCTCTATATACAAATACAGATCAGATTTTGAGCAAATTATGAAGTAACAATTAAATTATTTTTTTATAAACAGCAGTTGCACGAACTTTAATCGACGATATTAAATATTTACAATCACACTTTGTCAACTGATTTATGCAGCTGTTTTTCTTCATAGGGTTTCTGCAGTAAAGATGGCAGCCTCTTTGCTCAGGGTAGGACGGCTCGGATCTCTCAGGGTAATCCACCGTTTTTTTCGACATGTATTATGAAATATGCATGCATATTATAGTGCATTTACATATTCGTGTTATTTAAACGTGTGAAACTGCGTAGTCAGATTCCTCTTGTGAACACAAGCTAATGCTGCTCGAATGTTAAAGCACTGAAGCATTTAATCCACTCAGACCCGACGCATGAATCCCTTCTGTGTGCTGTATTTACATGAAAATATTCCTGTTATTAAATAAGTGCATTTACTCAGTGTGGATCAAATTTTATGCATCAGAACCCTGCATCTAAAATAGTGTAAAATGTCGGAGTTTCAAATAATTGTTTAATGTTTCGTTTTTCTTTTGATTTTTTTTATGTGCTTTCCCCCTATATTTTAGTTTTTTAGAAAGTGTTCCTAAAATGCCGAAAATTATTTGTTTGAATATCTATTTGGAAAAACTGAAAGTGTTGGTCAACTCGCAGAGAACACTGTGTACTTTTTGCTGGTACATTTCTTTGAGACCACAGCAAACGATGTACAGTAGTATAAATAGAACTGCAGAAAGGTGGTTGTGATTATTCATAGGGATTTGCTGTGTTTTTTGAAGTCTGTTGTTTTTGTGTGTCTCTTGTTGTTAGTGTCTGCAGACGGGGGGCTTGAGCTCTATCAGAAGAGCTCCTGCTGTAGCTTTCAGCTCCAAATCTGGGGACAGCAAGAAGTCCAAAAAGTCCAACAAAGGTAAATCTTTCTTCAATTTATGTCACAATAATTTTGTATATGTCATGTGCCATTCATTTGGGGGAGGAGGACTCTGTATTCAGATCTTGACACCATACATGGGAAAACTGAGGTTTGTGTGGTTCAGGGGACGTATCCTCTGACCTCAGCTGTTGTTTCTGAACCTGCTGGAGTGTGTTTTGTTCCTGTCTCTTACTGTGTCATGTAGGAGTAATACCATGCAAAGATCCGTACCAAAGTCATTGCCAAAAGTGTTCAAACTCTTTGATGTTGACAATATTAAGATTGTCATATTTTACTTCTGCACATTTTTCTCTATTAAAGTGCACCTATTATGCCATTTTTAAGGTTGCTAATATTGTTTTATGAGTCTCCTAAAACAGGTTTACATTTATGTAAGGTCAAAAAACATGTTAGTTTTCTCAAAAAATAGATTTAATTTTACCTCATTTCTAAATGATTCATAAACGACTCGTGCGAAGCAGTTCAAAGAATCAGTCTCTCTAAACCCCTCCTTTCCGTGAGCCCTCACTGCTCTGATTGGTCAGATGGCGCAGTCCTTTGTGATTGGTCCAGAGCCGTAGAGAGATCTAGCTCTGGATTGGTCTACCGCGTACAGCGCGTTTTGGAAACGAAACGTCCATTGCCATGACGGAATGACAGCCCTGGAGACTTGTCAATACATAGAAAAGATGGTATCGATTGTACCTTACCAATTCGGTTAACGATTTATTAACCACACGGAAATTTTACTGTTTGTGGGCGGGCAAGTTGGCGACGTAGAACGTGGGCGGACATTATGCAAATGTGTTACTTCGTGACGTAGAGCCGTAACAGAATAAGATTTGAATTCCTGACGACTCGTTTAGGCGATTGCGAGCCAACTCTTTTTTTTTGATAGACAATAACTTTATCGTGCACTGTCGGCTTCACAACTTTGCAGATAGTTTATGTTTACATACAGCTACATGACACACTGCATGAAAGGTAATATTCGAAAAGGCATAATGGGGCACTTTAAACAAACTGCTACAATAAACAAACTTTACAATCAAATTTATTTGCACTCACTCACAAAATCACATATACAGTCACCTGATGCAACTCTAACAGGGTGATCAGGTCCCAAAAGCAAAGCCTGCTATTATGATGAATTAAATGCACAAAAAAACATTTCTAATAAATTTGTTATGGAAGAAGAAGAAGAGAGTGGTTAGCTATAAAGTTTAGACCTCAGTGATTGGACAATCATAATCAGGTATTTCAGACAGACAAGTAATAAGCTCTAATATTTAATATAATAAGTTTGTATGGAATATAGATACAGAATATAATGTATTTGGAAAAGATATAGTTAAACTCTAATACAAAATAATATGTGACTAATTAAAATATACAAGCTTTAAAAATATAACATGATCGCATGTTTAAAATCTTTTTTTTTTTTTTTTTATGTTTGAGAAATTTAAAACGTTTCTGTCAAGTTTAGGATGTATTCCGGAATCCATTTTCCATTTTGTTACAGTTTACACTGTCAGCACAATGTATAGTGTTTGCAGACTTTTTGGCAATGACTGTATATGCAAAAGGAAAAGATGGTCCAGAATCTCCTAAAATCAATAACCGATCGATTTGTGGTGCCAGCATCTTTTAAGCACAAGCAGCACTTGTTTAGTACGTCAATTATTCGATTTATAGAAGCTTGAACTGACATCAGACAATAAAAGGGTTTGACAGTGGTTTTGAAATAGAAATTTGCATAGGTCTATGAAACTTCAGTCAGTTTGTTGAGTATGTGAGCTTTGTGGTTAAACTAAAAATGTAATTTTAAGAAATAAATGTTATATTACCTATAAACCAACAGGCCCACATCTATATTGTTAATAAAGACACAAAGATGGTATGTTGATTATAATATAAATTGAACTCTTGGTCTTTTCTTTTTCTCTGTGGGCATTTTTAAACAAGTAAAACTGGTCGCATGGAGTTCTTAAAGATTAAACCTAATGACCTGTTATCCATAATTGTTGCTGTACAATGATCCTCTGAGGTTAGAGGTGGCAGAGGGCTTGAGAAAGGGCTTGCCATGTGGTGTTGTACTGGCATATATGCTTAGTGCTATATGTGGATGTCCTAACTGCTTATATATGTCACCTTGACATTTGGAGTTAAAGAATGCACTGCATGAATGCGTTCATGAAGCCACTCCCTCTGTTCATTCAAGAGAATCTGGTGAAGCCAATAATCCAACAAGTGACTTCTTGTTGAAAATAAAAGCTGAACAAAACATGTTTTGTGCTGAACATTGCTACATAAATATGAAAATGCCTCTTAGAAATAACTAATTGTAAATAATTGTAATAATCATATTTATTATCAATATTAATAGTAATCATGATGATTATGTGCTGGTACCACAGTTTGATCATGTTTGACCACAAATTCAAATATATAGTGTGAACAGTTGTGTCATCTGATTCAGAACAGTTACTTGGCGCTACTTTAAAATAATGGTGATATGAAAATATATAGCCTTTTAGCTTCAATAACTCTAGAATTTTGGAATAATTATAATGAAATAATCTTTTGCATTTTAACTTGTATCTTCCAATGAAAATAAGGGTATTAACAGTACAATACTTTAATTTTTTATGAAAATGGGGTTTACTGAATGTGAAATGTTTAGGTTACTTTTCCTGTCAGATGGCTTTTTAAATGAGCCATAGTTCAAATTTGATATGCACGAGTCGGGTTATAAGGTGTTCAAAGCTCCACCACCTCAGTGGATGCTCATCTAATTGTTGAAGAAATTGGGTAGGTTATTTTGCTGTATGAGTTTAGCGGTCTCCATTCAGCCTGATAATGCACATGATGAAGCAAATTATTACATTTCTATTTTTGCCCTCCTTCCCCCTCCATCCTAGAAAAAGCAGCACCAAAAACTTACTTCGATATAGAAAAACTTGTCCAGCACAGATCATATGTGGAATTCCCCAAGAAGGAGGTTGCAGCTTCGGTTGCTGCTGCCTCTACAGAAGCTGCATCTGTTGCTGCGCCTGCACCTGAACCAGTTGTAACTGCCACCGCGCCTGCAGCCGAAGCCGCTGCTCCCAGAGCTGAAACCATTGCCCCCGCATTTGAAGCCATTCCTGTAGTTGAAGCTGCTGCCCCCGCAGTTGAAGCCACTGCCCCTGTAGTTGAAGCCACTCCTGAAGCTGAAGCCGCTGCCCCTGTAGTTGAAGCCACTCCTGTAGCTGAAGCCGCTGCCCCTGTAGCTGAAGCCGCTGCTGCTGTAGTTGAAGCCACTCCTGTAGCTGAAGCCGCTGCTCCTGTAGTTGAAGCCACTTCTGTAGCTGAAGCCGCTGCCCCTGAAGTTCCCCTGTAGCTGAAGCCGCTGCCCCTGTAGCTGAAGCCGCTGCCCCTGTAGCTGAAGCCGCTGCCCTTGTAGTTGAAGCCGCTGCTCCTGTAGTTGAAGCCGTTGCCCCTGTAGTTGAAGCCGCTGCTCCTGTAGCTGAAACCACTCCTGTAGTTGAAGACACTGCCCCTGTAGCTGAAGCCGCTGCCCCTGTAGTTGAAGCCACTCCTGTAGCTGAAGCCGCTGCTCCTGTAGTTGAAGCCACTTCTGTAGCTGAAGCCCCTGCCCCTGAAGTTGAAGCCACCCCTGCAGCTGAAGCCACTGCCCCTGTAGTTGAAGCCACTCCTGTAGCTGAAGATACTGCCCCTGAAGTTGAAGCCACACCTGCAGCTGAAGCCATTGAGCTTACACCTGAGGCCACAGTTTTCCCTCCAGAAATGATTGCTGAAACTGCATCCCCTGCAGTTGAAGCTGCAGCTCCTGAAGCCCCTGCTGCACCAGCCTCTGAAGATGCACCTACAGAAGACGCCCCTGTCCAGGAAGCAGTTGCTGAGGTTGTAGAAGCTGTCAGTGAAGTAGTTGCAGAAGTTGTGGCGGAAGCTTCCCCAGTTGTAGAGGCTGTTGCTGAGGTAGTTGGAGAATCTGGCCCTATTGAGGCGGTTGCAGAGGCAGCTCCTGCTGAAGAGCTGATAGATCCTGCTCCTGTGATCTCAGATGCTACTGAAGTTCCAGCAGAAGTTGTGGAGACGCCTGAGGGTACTCACCATCCCCTATAACCCCCTTTCATATATTGGGATACAGCAAAATTTTGAAAGCAATTTTTTTTTCTCAATTTCGGTTACAGGTTTTATATATACAAATTTGTAATGCTAATGGTAAAGATATAATCACAATGCATTTTCTTACCCTTTCATTTATACAGTTAGTTACATTACAGTGTGTCATTAGCTTTTGTCATTGCATTGCATTGCCATGTGTTAGTTCATAGCATACATGCAAATGCATTTAGGGGTGAAACGGTTCATAAAAACAACAACAACAACAGTTTAGTATTGTGACGGGTCTCCTGCTATCCTGCTACGGCCAGCCAGTGGGTGTGGCTAGGAGCCCCATCAGCCAGGATTCATGTCACCTGTTCCTTCCTCTATAAAACTTTGTGTTACTGTGGATGTGTTGTTCCTTTGGTTCCCTCAGTTGTTTTTGTTGGGAGTGCAAAACAAATAAAGGATTATGGTCAGTGTAGACCACTAAAGGTCCCTGCGATGACCCTACGTAGACCTCAAAGTGTTGCAGGGCCCAAATCAGAGTCAGTGCCTCCTTCTCGATTACTGAATAATTAAGCTGGAAAGAATTGAACATCCTAGAGAAGAACCCCACTGGACGATCAATGCCCTCTTCAGATCTCTGCAACAAGACCGTACCAGCACCCACATTACTGGCATCCATCTGCAATTGGAAAGGGTGGTCAAATTTTGGGGCGGATAATACAGGTGCCTCCGTAAGCAGCATTTTTATTTTCTCAAATGCCTGCTGACAAACAGAAGTCCAACAAAAATCCACTCCTCTCTGCAACAAATTAGTAAGTGGCATTGCAACAGTAGAAAAATTTCTACAAAAACAACGATAAAATCCAGCCATGCCCACAAATCGCTCAAAAAAAACTATTTTTTTGGTAGTGGGCATAGGATACTTATCTATAGCTTCCACCTTAGTGCGGATGGGATGCACTTTACGTTGACCAGCAACCTTCCCAAGATAAGTAACCGTAGCTTTTGCAAACTCACATTTTAATAAATTGACTGTCAAATTGGCTTTAAAAAACGATCAAAAAGGTCTTGAATATGAAGCAAGTGTTCCTCCCAAGTATGACTGAAAACAACGACATCATCTAAAAACACTGCGCAACCCTGTAAGCCAGATATAACCTTTCAGTAATCAGTACAAAATCTGAACATTCCGTCGGGTTTATTCACTAACAAGGATGGAGATGCCCTACTAGAAAAAGAGGGCACAGCAATATCATTCTTCAGCATGTAATCAATTTCATTATCTAACAGTTTTTCTTATTCGCCGACACTTGATAATAACGCTGACGAATTGGGGCTGAATCTCCAACGTCAGTGTTATGTTTGATAAAATTTTTGCTAGAGGGAGTATCTGGAAATAATGCATTATATTATTTAATTATATTAATCAAATCAGTATGATGTGTGTCGGTTAAATAATTGAGTTGAGAATTTAATGCTTCAGACTTCCGGCAACCACCCATGATGAATAGAATCCCCAGGATCGATTTCTTCTACCTCCCCACCAACAACAACAGAGTTTGACTCAACACTGTAATCAACAACAGAAGGACTTGACAAAAGAACAGGTTTAATATTTGCGTCAGCCACATCCACATTTACAGTATCAATGTGATCTTTACAAGCATAATAAGGTTTTAACAAATTTATGTGGCACACTCTCGTCTTCTTTTTTTGGTCTGGAGTATTAATCAAATAATTAAGATCAGAAATCTGATGAGCAATGGTATATGGTCCCACGAACTTGGCCTGAAATGGTGATCCAACAATGGGCAGCAATGTGAGTACCTGGTCACCCGCTTGGAAAGAATGTCTCTCTGTACGACGGTCAAAAAGACATTTAATTTGTTCCTGTGCTTTACTAAAACATGCATATGCCAATTGACAGGCTTCAAAAATTGTTCGACGAAAATTACTAACATATGTCAAGACGTTCTTAGGGGGATCCGAATTTTCCCAATCTGCTGCCAAATCAGCCAAAGGGCTATGCACATCGTTACCAAAAACCAGCTCACTTGGACTGAAGCCGGTACTTTCTTGGGCAGCTTCCTGAGCTGCCATCAATAACCAAGGCAAGCCAGACTCCCAGTCCCTTGCCATTTGAGTACAATAAGATTTAGTAAAGACTTTAAAGTTTAATGAAATTTCTCCAGAGCTTCTTGGCTCTGGGCATGATAAGAACTGGAGAGATTGTTTAAAAGGGTCATATGATGCGATTTCAATTTTTCCTTTCTCTTTGGAGTGTTACAAGCTCTTGGTGCATAAAGAAGATCTGTAAAGTTGCAAAGACTAAAGTCTCAAATCCAAAGAGATATTCTTTATAAAAGTTAAGAGTCAGCCTAGTCGAACCTAAAACGGCTCGTTCTAACACACCCCCACGTCTAGGCTGTTCTGACTCACAGACTGTAAGTACGTTTTTTATATATAAAGAATTTGCCACTGACGATTCAAACCCGAGTTTTGAGCAGTGTAGAGTAGCGCTTGTTGTTTGTCATTTCTCTGATCACAAATGCAGACATGGTTTTATGTTTACGTGGTGCGATGCAACTGATGTATAAGTCATTATAATCCGTAATTATGTCCCCACTGGATGCAACAAATGCCTTGTTTATAATGGGTTTTAATGTTTTTGTCTCGTCGCTCCGGCCGGACGGCATCACAGTATGCTAGGGGCATAACATTTTCGTAACACGAAAAGAAACGCTCAACATCTTTTTCATCAAACTAAGGAATCAGCTTCATATTACTCACAATATCAAATCTCCGCGAAACAATTTCACCTTCCGCTCCATTAGTGACAAAGCTTAATGTCTTCTTATCAAGTCCAAGCGGTAGCGTTAAAGTTGCTGCTGCTGTAATTGAACTTCAGACAATTCAATACGATCTGTTTTTCTTTCATCTGAGTTTCAATTAACAACAACTGTTTCGGTTGCTTAAATGTCAAATGAGACATTGAAGACCTATCACTAATGGCAGCTTCTGTAGACAATTGTGATTTTAAAATACCGTGATCAAACAACTCCGTCTTTATCATGGTTTTAATGCTGTCTTTTAAACGTTTATCTTGAGTCGACAAATTAATTTTGTAATGAGTTGCGAGCTCTAAGAGCTAATAAGAGCTAATTCTAATAAATCTTCCGACGGTGCAGTAACAAATTCTTACATTTTAGAAGCCAAACTGAAACACAAAACAAATGTAGGCCTACTTATATTGTCTAACTAATATCTGAAGAGTAGCAACACCGGAAAAGCGATTCCCTCTACCTATTCAAAACTCAACCCTAGTCTTCATACAGTTACTTGCAGCAGGTTTTTATACACTGTAAACCATTGTTTGCAATAGCAACCAATTGGCAAGTTACCATTACAAAACACGGACATGTTCCCGAGCCAATGCTCTAACTGCGTTCACCATACAAACACAACAAACTAAAGTAAAAACAACAATCAGAGCATCCTGTAAAGGACACCCTGCTAAACCTTTACAGGGAAAAGCATAATCCAAGTGTTACCCATCAAATATAGAAAGTAGCCTACTTACCAAGCTCCAATTCCCACGGAATAAAAAAAAACATTCACGGATGCCATAGAGATACTCCAAAATAAAAATGAAACTCCAAAAACAACCAAAGGAACAACACATCTACAGTAACACAAAGTTTTATAGAGGAAGGAAGGAACTGGTGACATGAGTTCTGGCTAATGGGGCTCCTAGCCACTGGCCGGCCGTAGCAGGATAGCAGGAGACCCGTCACACTATGCATTCGATTAATTAGGGCTAATATTGGATAATTAAACCTTCATGGTGTTTAATAGAGTAGTAATGTCACAATAAATTGGAAATTTAAAAATACTAAATTGTACCAAAACTGTGACAACAGAACACTATCTATAGAAACCGTGACACCCCTAATTGTTTCTCTACAACATCACAACAGAAACTCAAGTTGCTCAATCAAGGCTATATTCATTTTCTAAGCTGGGGCAGAGATGGCACACCATTTTTCTTTTCGATGGTGTATTTTAAGTCTGCGCCCTGGTTTTCAGTCCATGAATATAGCCAGTCTCCCTATCCGTCATCCGTCTTTGCGCATGTCTGCATTATATATGTTTGTTTGTAATTTTTTGAGTCTTCATGTTATGCAATGCATGTTTTTCACCGCATAATTTCACTGACTGCTACCTTTCGGTTATATTTATTATTTTTGCAGCTTATTATTTATTACTTTATCAGCTTTTTTACACTCGTCTCTTTTTTCCTTCTTTTCTGTTCATGGAGTTGTTCATTATTCCATGTATTTGACCTCTTGTATCCTGCTCCTGTCTTCCTTTGCTTCTTTCATTGAAATCTTTTGTCTTTGTTCAGTCCTTGTATTTGTGACCTCACTCCTCGGAGAATAACTGTATTTACTAGGGCTATCAATTTATCATGAATTTAGTACACTGAAAAAGAACTTGGTATAGGATTTAGTTTGAAACAATTGCATAAATAATTACAAAGAAACGGCAAGTAACATGTTGACTATAATGTGAAATTTTGTGAAAATAGTTGCACATTTCACTGTTAAAAATGTGAAATTTCACGTTTACCCAAATTGAAGTGCTAATTTACTGGCCATCAATTCAGTGTCAGTTTGGTTCATTTAATTTGTAAAAGCACGTGGAATAACACATTTAACTAAGTTGAAGAACTTGAAATGCTCATTGCGCAAGGCGCTAAAAAATAGCGAGATACGACATAAGACATGTCTGTTTAGCATAGTTTTACATAGACTGGCAATTAAAAAAACAGCACATATGATCCTGTATAAATGTGCCTTAAGTCTACAACAGGCAAACAGACAAAATAGATTACTGTTGAATATAAGCGAAATTTTATTGTTATGTAAATGAAACAGTATATTGTCTTGAAAGCCACTTTTTTTGTAAATTTATTCCATGCTTGGTCTGTCACAGTAATATCAATGAATTATGTTCATTATTCAGCATATCAATTTTATTAACGTGTTAATTGATGATTTAATTGACAGCCCTATTATATACAAATTATTATTACAATTGTTTTCTCATTTATGCCCCATCCCAACTCCACCATCTGTAAAAATAACACTCCATTTGTTGTGCTTTAATAGAAATTGTCACTTTGTCAGAACAAATGTTGGGTTTTCTTTCCTGTTAAAGTCACAGTTAGGTAAAATTTTAAGTTTAAGATATCATCACAGGTGATGCATTGCTACTGTATGTTTTGACTAGTTTGTTTACGAGTATGGTAACATCTAAATGTACTTTGACCTCACCTTTCTTTCCTGTTGCTCTTTACTCACCCAAACGCACTTTCTTTGTCAGTGTCTCACTTTTCTTCCCAGGGGGTCGCATGATATCAGTGATTGGTTAATTATCCTCTTATCTTTTCCTGTGTACTGTGGTTTATATGTCAAAGTTAAATATGAAATGCTCCTTACCCACTTTCCCAATATGGTGTATGGAGTGAGATTGAGATTGCACTGTTTGCTGTATGTGGAATGGAAGCAACAGTTTATTACAGAATGCAAAATTAAGAATGTATGATGATTACCTAAAATAATAATCACGAGTTGTTTGATGGGCATTTATTTATGATTATTACACAATCACTCTTATGAGATGAAATGCTTCCGTTTCATTTCAGTGTAGATGCAACCTCTGTCCTAGTTACTCACCGCCTGACCTGCTCCTTGACTCAGTTCTCTTTAGTTCACTAGATCTAGTCTCCACACCAGGCACTCTTCTCATGCATGAGGGTTAAAGAAGACTGATTTCTTCTTTATTGTACAAGATATAAAGGATTCTGGCATCCATATACATGTCTGTTTCTTGGAGATTGTATTAACACTCTCTTTTCATGTGATTGTCAGCTGGATTGGACCCCATTCAGAAACTTTTCCTAGATTCAATCCGCGCATACTCCACAAAAAGCGGGTACATGGTGTTTTACTATCGAACTCTCTTGCTTGTCTCTGAAGAGTGATGCTGCTCTTCGTGATCTTACATTTTTTAAATAAATTGATAGCTACTTTTCGTGTTTTCTCAGTGCCGCTGGTGGTCTAGTTGATGCCGGTTCAGAATATCAGAAGGCTCTTGCTGAGGAAATAACTAAACTGCAGCGGTTGTACAGTGGTGGTGATCTGTCTTCCTTCCCTGAGTTCAAATTCCCTGGTGTGTAAATGTATTTACATCTAAATGTATCTCAATTCCAATACTCCTTCAGAATACAACATCAATAATACGAGTTTTCAGTTTTGTTTGAGTGTCAATGCATTTGTCCTAAAGTTGATTTTTTTGCAGTGCATTTGACTAACATTATGCCAACATTTTTGTATTTACAGAGCCTAAATTTGATGAAGTGTCCTCCAAGTAAACTTCTGATCCACTCCTGTGCCTCAGTGCAGTTTTGTGAAAGAAGTCTACTGTGTGAAGTCTAAGTGACTTTAATCTGTAAAAGTGAACATTTTGTGAGTTTTTTTTTTTAAGTTAAAATTGTGTTAATTTTTTTATTTTTTTATTTTGTGAGACTCTAAATACTAAATAGCTATTTTTCAAAAATTCTTATGTCTGATGGACAAGACTACCTGTGTCATGTATAATGCACATGTGGAAGAGAGCATAAGCTTAGCTGTGAAATAAATGCTTGTTGCTTTTCATAATGTTTGTTGGTGTAAAATATCTGGGAAAAGAGCTGAATAAACTGAGCCACACATCTTCTGTCTGGTCTGAATGTTTTATTTTTTAGAAATGATGTGAATAAAATGCATATGAAATTGTGTGCAGTGGTATATTTCATCATCTTGACCAAATATATTCAATCTTGATTTTTGTAAAATGTTTTTTTTTTTTTTTAATACAGTTTTGGAAATATAAGAATAAAAATAAAAGTAATAAGAAATATTTTTCAAAAATGGTTCAAAGTAACTACAAATGAGCATGTAAAACAAATACCTTTAAATAAAATCCGTGTGGAGCATGCCCCCTGATCCACACAATATTCTCACCTTTTCATTTTGAGGGAACTATTGATAACGACCGATTCGTGGGGAGGAAAGTATAATTACAAGACTAAGAATGGGACATACAGGTTATAGAAAATGTTAAGAGATAGAGGAAATGTTTCTGATCCAAGCTACCTGGTGATGGCAGTAATGCGCTGTTAAGTGCGGTTGCCAGTAAAAGGAAGAAGAAGAAGACCGATTCGTGAGTTTCATTTTCGACCCGGACAATAATAACAGGAGAACAAAGATGGCGACGTCCCTGCTCAGGTTAGGTCGACTTGGCTCTGTCAAGGTAATAATAAACTCGCTGTATTTCTACTAAGATGGTCTAGAGACACGTTAAAACAGGACTTAACTCTCTACCCGTTATAACCGTAATAGTGAAATGTCAGTCAAATATTACATTACGTTAAATAACCTTTATATTAATGACTCATTTTAAAATAATTTAAAAATGTTACTGGATTAATAATATGTTTTTCTGTGTTCATACAGGGTCTCCTGCGTGAGGGCTGGGGGACACCTAGGACCTCATTTATTGCAGCTCTCTGCACTAAAACGGACGTCCCACCCAAAACAGCAAAGAAGGCAAAGGCTTCAAGTAAGAGTAAGGGCATGCTTTTTTCTTTCCATACATCTCCCATCTCGAGTTTGTGTGATGTTCACATACTCCATATACTCCAACCTCACTCGTAATCTGTCTACAGCATGATTATATTATGTGTGTAATTAAAATGTGTGCTTTGGCGTTCTGTAGGTGGTTTTATCTTCATCTATACTTGGGGCCGGTCTCAATTACCCACACTTGTTGTCTTTGCACTTACATGAGTCTATACTGACAAAAGAAAGACTGACGTGTAAAAGAAAGAAAATATGAAGGAAAAAAAAAGAAAGAAAATATGTTGGTAACCAGGCAGTTTTGATTCCCATTGACTTCTGTTTTATGGACAAGAAATACCAAAAAGGATACCTGTTTGGTTACAGACATTCTTCAAAATGGCTGATTTTACTTTCTACTGAAGAAACGCAGTCATAAAGGTTTGGAACAACATGAGGATTAATGTGAGAAATTAAGGATTAGGATTAATAAACATGTCTCTTTAAGTGATAAAATCCAGTTTTGCAAAATACATGTACTCATCTCTGCACCAATGCAGTGTGCAACAGTAGCAACACTTTTTTTTTTTTTTTTTTACTTCCAATTTTTATAACTGACAAAACTATAAAGTTTTTCTCGCAGTTTTGGGGCATATGAGTTCCATGATGAATGATGGGATACACTTAGCCTAAAATACTGCCCTGAAGCGGTATTAGGGTTAGTGTGGGTTTAGTGTGCATTAAGGTCACTGAACGTTTGGCATTTTTCAGACCTGGGACAGTCTTGTGCACGCACTTCCTGTCACATGCACATGCTCAAGTGGCCAGGACTGCAAGTGTGGGTATTTTGGACATGCCCTTACCGTCTGAACTAGATCACTAGATCCCATCCCTTCAACCTCTTGCTTTCTAAAGACATGTGCTTTCAAAAGCATCATTTACTTTTGGCTGAAATGGTTGAGGACAAACAATGGAAGCTCATGCAGTTATATTAATTAGTTTTAAAAGCATGCACACATTTCCTTTAAAGATATCTGCATGACTATTCTTGTTCAAGGGATTCTTCAATGCTTTTACTGTTGAAGGTGGCATTTTCACAAACAATTTGTAGTACTGTGCAAAGTAATGGTTTTAATGATGTTGTTTGGTATGGGACATATTGAAGCCTTTTTCGTGTATTTTTTCTTCTTCACACTTATAAACCATGATTTGCTATTAGTGCGTGATGGCAGTTATTTATAATTTAGGCAAGGAAACATTGTCATTCAAGAGAGTATTGTATTGGACATGCAAAATTTGTATACGTATAGGTATATTTCATGGAATTAACACAATTAACATTTTAAAACTTAGAAATATTTTTGTAAAATATATATTTTTTTAATCTTTAAGGAGTACATTAGTATATGCATTACTACCATTCAAAAGACTGGTCAGTAAGATTTTTTTATGGTTTTGAAAGAAATCTCTTATGTTCACCATGGCTGCATTTATTTGATCAAAAATACAGTAAAATTGTGAAATAATTGACATTTATAAACTTTAATTTTTTTCTGTGATGGCAAAGCTGAATATTTTTTTCAGGATTCTTTGATGAATAGAAAGGTAAAAAATAAATATATATATATATATCTTTTGTAATATTATTTTCTTTACTGTCACTTTCGATCTGAATGAAAGTATACAATTCTTTTAAAAAAATCTTACCGACCCCAAACTTAACAGTAGTGTAGGTGGCCTCTAGAATTACACAAAATGGACTTAAATGTACAAAACAACAATTTTTATGTGGTCTTTAAATTAAATTATTACTCTGCAGTGTGCTTGCTCATTAGCTGGACTAGACTGAAAATGCAGTTTTTAGCCTGGTGTTGCTAAAGATTAGGGATATGCCGGTATCAAATTTTCATGGATTTGTAATATATAATTATTCATGGTATTTAGAAGTGCCCACGATAACAGTATCGTGCATATTCATTACCGTGATTTATCGCATTACCGAATACCGGCACAAGTCTACTAAAGATGCTCAGCCTACATTTTTGTAAGACATTATTGGGGATTTGATCTATTTAACAAACAGATTCTGGTCTTTCCACAGTCAAGTAGTGCTGTAACTGCATGCCTTTAGTCTAGATAGAAAATAACTGACTTGGAGATTGCTAAGTGGACTGACAAGCCTTAAAGGGACTTTGATAGGGTGTGCAAGGTTTTCTTATGGTGTTTGCTGGGTTTAACAGTTACATTGAACAGGAGGGTTTCTGTAATGTAATAAACTACAAAAACAATCTCATGTATTTTATCCCATTTACCATTTCCTCAGCCGATGAGAGGGCCTCTCTTCTAGCCTACAAGCCCACAGTTGCCTTCCCTTCTAAGCTGTCTGCCACAGGATTTCTTCCCAAAGATGTAGCTTTAGGTGAGTCTGAAACCGTTGAGGCTGTTTCCACAGCCGCTGCAAGTGAGACGACAGCTGGCGGTCCAGTTGCTGATACAGTAGCAGCTGAAGTTGCTGTCGAAGAGGCAAAGATCACTGAAGTCCCACCTACTAATGAAGTCTCTACAAAAAGCAAAGGAAGTAAGGCCTCAGATGTTGAGGCAGAAGTACAGAAAGATCAAGGCGATAGCTCTTCTTCATCCTCATCCTCATCCTCCGGTGATTCTGATTCAGACTCGGATTCTGATGATGAGAAACCAAAGACTGAAACACCAGAAACATTACACTCTGGAGAGAAAGCAGCAGAGGAGAAGAAAGCTCCTGGTCTGACGACTGAACAAGTAGATAAGCGAGCATTGCCTGAATCTGCCTCATTTGGAGAAGCTCAAGAAAGTGCAAAAATTGTGACTAAAGCAAAACCAGAAGAGGTTCCTGCACCAAGTGCCAAACCAGATGGATCAGATGAGACCCTTATTGATCCTGCCCCTATAGTATCATCCTCCACAACTGAATCGATTCCAGAAATGTCTAGTGAATACATAAAAGCTGACACTACTGATAAGATAGTGGACACCGCAACAGATGTTAAAACGGCTGCTGTGGAGGAGACTGTTGTTGAAAAGGAACCAGAAATCAAAGCTGAAGATGCTGTCGCAGAAGTTGTCCCAGACGTCCCTACAGAAGCCAGTCCTGAAAAAGTAGTAAAAACGGCTGCTGTGGAGGAGACTGTTGTTGAAAAGGAACCAGAAATCAAAGCTGAAGATGCTGTCAAAGTTGCTGCAGAAGTTGTCCCAGACATCCCTACAGAAGCCAGTCCTGAAGAAGTAGTAAAAACTGCAGTTGAAGCGAGTCCTGGAGTAGCTTCTGAGGCTTCTGGAGATGTTGCAGCTAAACCTGAAGATGCATCATCCAAAGCTGAGGCAGGAACGCCGGCAGCCCCTTCAGAAGAGCTGGTAGACCCTGCACCTGTGGCCGCTGATGCTGTGGAGGCTTGGGCTGAGACCAACGTTGTGGAGACACCTGAGGGTACACCACACATCCTTACTCAGTTTCTTTCTCTGGATCCGTCACATCACAGAAACACATTTCTCTTACCATTTATTCAACACTAATATACTTTAATTGCGGCAGTGGGATTGCTTTTGCACAAAGGCTCTGCAACTTTTAATATTCATTATGCATTTGCATTACATTTGCTTTTCTTATTTAGTTATTTTATTAACTATTGCATTTTCATAAATTTGCATGACTTTGCATGACTTATTCTTTAATTCTACCTGGATGTTTGGGTTGTAAATGGCTTCTTTTAATTCTATTCATTACTCACTACTCTTCTGTCTGTATTGTAGTATAAAAATATAATTAACCATACAACTCATTTCAAAATAGTTCTGTAGAGAGTGATATTAACAAAAGTACTGTATGTCACTTTAATAGTGCTCCCCCTCCTGTGCATTTCTGTTTTCATCAGCAAGGTGTTCACACATAAAGCAATATACAGCAAGAAAGTAACTAAGTAATAAGAGTAATTTTAATTTCCGATAACATGAGCAGCAGAGACGGTTTGCTTAGAGTGACCAGAGATTGAGTCCTTTTGATTGAGTCGGATTAGTCCTATTCCCTTTTCTCCTATCCAGTTGTTTCCTGTCACTTTCAACTGCCCTAGATAAAAGGAAAAAATAAATAAAAAAGTTTATCATCTTCATGCAAATGAGAAGTGATGCAGTGCATTGACTACAGTGCTGCTCCACAAAGGCAAATCACAGTAACTAGTTTTGTGTAGTCTCTCCTGTGAGAGATTCATTCATGCATATCATCATCATGATGGATGATTATTTATGATGCATTTTAACAGATTTTCAAAAGCTATGACTCTTCAATAACAGTAGCACTGTATGAACGCCTACTTAAACCAATAATATTCCCACTCCAGTGATAAAATTGCTGTATGTATGAACGCATTTTAAGCATTGGAGGGGTAGAATAGTTGTGGTTCATTACATTTCTTGGTTACACTATTTTAAGGTGTCCTTGTTACAGTGTAATTCTACATTTAAGCACCGAGTAATATTGATTAACTACATGTATTTACTATATGGTTAGGGTTACGATTAGGGTTTGTCTTAGGGTTACTTGCATGCAATTCTACATAATTTATTGTTATTATAATAGTAAGTATGTAACACTTGTAACAAGGACACCTTAAATAAAGTGTTACCCATTTTCTTTCCATTGAAAACAAAAAACTAAAGGTAACTTACCTCATAATTGGCATCAACACCTTATTTATTTATTGCAAGAAACAGTTACTTAAAATGTTTCTGTATGTTTCTGTATGATGTCCACTGGTGCAGAGTGACTGGGGGATGAGTGTGTGTTTTCTCTATGGGAGCTGAGGCTCACATGGAAGATTGTGAATTTTGGAATAAGTAGTAAAAGCATTGTGCAAATAAGCATTCAGAGAAGTAAGCATTTTTTCTCTGTAATTGTGCATATACATGATTGTGTCATTGACGGCATTCATGCTGAAGAGCACACTGCTGTGTTTTGAGTGCTATTAAGTGGATTTCTTTCCGCACCACTGGACACATAGGATAAAGCCAACTTTACATTGAAGTGATTTTCTTAAAATATATATATTTTTTACCCCTCTATACGTCTAGTAGCTTACTAGCTTTTGCGGTTTCTTTCTTTTTTTCTTAATGGACAATGCAAAGCACTATTCTCACTCTTCTGTCTGTTCCTTTCACACTTTCTGCCCCTGTATGAGCATCTCCACTCCCAGGGCTTATTTGTATTTTATGCTTGATGTACATATTTTCTTAAATTGTGAAATATCATTTGTTTGATCCCGTTACGTTAATGGTAATATTTTCCCATGTTTAGACTAAAGTTAATCCATTCATGTTCCTGTTTCAGCATCCCATATTGATGTTTTTAAGCGATTGAGATTATATATAATGAGGTTACTTACCGGCATCATCAGTCAAAACCCTCCCTTTTTAATCTTGGATACTTATATGTTTTGTTCTGTAATAACAAATAAGTGTGTTATGTCGAGATTCATGAATTGTGGGATGTTTGATTTATCAGTTTGTGTACTTATGCTGTAACCTGTGGGTGTTATAATGTTGTTTTATAACATTTATGGTAAAACTGAGCAAAATAATAGAGTAATGTGGAAAGATCCTGTCTTTATAAGCATCTGGTTTACTTAAAGGTTTGATTGACTGGAGCTGTAGTAGATGAAATGGAAAATTACAGAGTGATTAAAGTTATTGTGCGAGAAACTGTCAGACACATGTAGTCTAGGTAAAAAAACTAGAGGCCCCTCGCACCTTTTTGTGTAAAGGACCACCTGTGGATTGAAAGTGATTACTGTAATGCCATGAAAGTGTGAAGATTCAAATCAGAAGTCCTTTTGAAGAGTAAGGAATTAACAGGAAGACTCTTCCTCGGCTCTCTTAAATGTACTTCCTTCTATGATCATTCTTTGTTTAATTTTTACTTTGGTTTGTCCTTGCGCAAATATTTTTATTCACGCTTATCTTCCAATCTAAAATAAATGTTCAGTTACTTGTTCCTTGGGCACGGTACTCATTGTATGGGCTTTTTTCCTGAAACAACATCTTGTCTTTCTTTCCGTTGCTGTTAGTTACATTTTGTGTGGTGTTTTTTCCCAGTTCCACATGTCTTACATTTAATCTCTTACATTATTGATTTCCTCAGAGCAAGCCCCAGAGAAAGCCCCGGAGCCGGAGCTGGAGCCCTTTGACAACACCACGTACAAGAACCTGCAGCACCACGACTACAACATGTACACCTTTGCTGATGTGGATGTAGAGCTGTCTAAATACCGTCTGCCCCAGCCTTCCGCAGGCAGACACTGAGCCTGTGTTATTGCTACCTTAGTCCACAACCCTGCTTCTTCCACATGTTCACTGTTCCTCAGACGATTTACTGGCAAATCTCAAGCTTTATGCTAGAATTCTATAATTATGGAATTAAAATGATTTAACTTCATTAGAGTGGTTCCAGAGTTATTTGTTGCTGTTGTCTTCTACAGTATTTGAATGGTGTTGATCTCAATTTATACTTTATTGTAATGAGGCTATGCTTGCTTTGACTTTATTACACTCTTTATTGCATAAAGGAGGGTAGTGTACTTCTAACTTTAAATTGGCAAATGGTTTAAATGCTGTATTTCCTGAATTAATTAAAAGGTGAGACTAAAAGGTTCGAAATGACCTAATTTCTAATGTTTTATGACTAATTTCTGCCTCATGTTAATTATTAGTTTCTGCCGCATAATTAAAACATTTAAAAAATTGTGTGATTGTGAATTTTCATCTCACAATTCGTATTGTGTTTCTTGAAATTCTATGAAAAAATACTATGATTTTTTAAAAATCTCTTCTGGCAATTCAGATTTTTTTTCTTAGAATCCTGAATTTACATCTTTGTTTCCACAACATAATTAAAAATAAAAAGGTGACTGTGACATTTTATGTATATTGCACTTCTGACATATACTGTATGTACATGGCTCACGATTCAGAATTTGTCCTTGCAATTCGTAGAGAAAAAAAGGCCAAAAAGGCATTTTCCATAACCACTAAATGGCATTTCTGTACTTTTAAAAATGATTTGCCCACTGCAAGATCCTTTAAAATGAACTCATGAATGCAAAGAGTTATTTAAAATGTAGACAAACCTGAAAGAAATGGTGACATTTTTGAGAAAAGGCATTTTTGGGCAGAACATCAAACAAATAAATTGCACTTAAATGGCACAGATTTTAAAACTAATTGTCCCGATCCTGGTACTCCCATAACGGGGCGTGTTTAAAATATTCGCTGAGGGCTCACGTCACTTCTCCTCCCCCTACTTAAATATTCATGAGCTGAGTGCCCTGCGTCCCCGTGCGTGATGACGCAGCGCGACACATGCGGATCCCGATTGCTGCAGCCGCTTGTCAGTGTGACGAAGATTGGCACCCAGGTAAGCTGTCACTCAAACTTGTCTTTTTCCGCTCCCTATCAATCAAACAATCCGAGCGACACACAAAAATGCCCGGGGCCGAGTGAAAGAGAGCATACGCTGTTAGCGGCTCACGGGAGTTGCATGGGACAGTCGAGCCAATCTTGTCCTAAAAATCTCTAGATGGAGAAAAAAAAATATGTCGGCTTTTTGAGGGACATGAGGTTTCATTCTAGCAAGGGCGACCGATGGCTGAGTGAAGGCCCGGGTTTAGCTGCTCTCTCTCTCTCTCTCCCTGCTCTCAGTCAGGCCAGAGGAGCGCTAGACGACAGTCTCAGGGCTAAATTATCCTATTTAGAGTTGGTTTTTAAACTACCGTAATTCAAATCGCACGTTAACGTCCTATAAATTGCCTTCACATCGAGGACAGCGCTCATGTGCAGTAAACGTGAAGGATTAGTGCCGTGTGTGAGCCTCTGTAGCGACTGTGCTTGGCTTGCTAGCGGGCTAATAATGCACTAGCTAACAGCTCTGCCCGTTTGTTACCGAGGAACATGGCGTTTCCTACTTTAGCACCCGTTGCTACATTTACTTCCCAGTACAAATAACGAGAGCATTTAGGCTAGACCGACGAGTCTTCTCTCGTTCTTCAAAGTTCAGTCTCAGTCAATGGCTAAACGAACAGCTGACTGTAATGCGTCTCAATTTAGTGCTTCACATTTCGTTTTTACACCAACAACGCTTTAGCTAGACTTACTTTTTGTTTGTAAACGAAGTTATCAAATGCATTCTGATTGAGATTGACTTAAAACGTCCTTGCCAATATGTGAAGTAAGCGTTGCATTTTGTTGGGAAATAAATAGCATGTGTATATTGATAAACCCCAGTGTCGCAAGACGTGAGATAAATATTCAAGTATTCGCACCCTCCACAGCAGATGTGCTAGCAGCTAGTGGGTGTGTGAATGTCTGTGTTGTAAAGCATGGAAATGGCTCTCTACAGTATATAACATTGGATTTGCATATCAATACATTCAGGCTTCCCTTTGCAAGATTACTCCATGCATTCCCCCTTTGATTAGCTGCATATGTTGAATACGAAAATAAATAAATAAACCAGTATCTTCATGTTGGTTAAGTTAAAAAGTGGTTTAGACAGCAGTTTTCAATAACTCCTATAATGTTGTTTGAGACTAGAGCCTTTAAAAAGGTTGCATGTGGTCACTTCTAGGTCGTTTCCTGCTTCCTGCCCATATAATGCCCCAGGGTTGGCAGCGGCCACTTTGAATATGATGGCTGCACAGTCTGTGTCCATAGACAAATATCAAGAGGGAGACCAGCAGGTAGGTGTGACATATTCAAATTTCAAACTTCTTTTGTTTGGCACTTTCCATGAGAACCGCACACTTTGGTGTCCCATTACTTTTTTTTTCTCCCCAAGAGTTAATAAATATGTTTGACGCACTATTATATAACATACTATTAACTTGGCATGAAACCGAACTAGTTTTATATGCATCATATTTTCCCCCATTTCTCCTAATTTTCTCTTAGTCTTAGTCACAAAGGATTAATCTCAACATTTTATTGTTTTACACAAATTATCATCAAATGCAACCATCCTACCCTTTTTACCAAAAAAGCCATTTAATTTGAATATTTTATTGCTAGATAGGATAACAAATTATACATTATAATAAAGAACTATTATAAAATTTTAACTGAAAAGATTAAATACTCCGAGGCTTTTGTATAGTAAAGATAAAAAAGCCTTTAATTAACCGGGCTAAGTCAATAAAATTAAGTGTTGATCATTATACAATTTAGTTGGTTGATCATATTTAATTGGATTTTAATTAATACATTTTTTTTGCTAGAAAATAACAAATCAGGGTTTTAAACTGTACAAAAGTTGCACAGATCTCATGTAATAGAAATTTAAAGAACTAATAAAATTAGTTTTTAATTTCATTTATATATATTTTTTGTTAGATAACAATCACTTAAATTAGGGTTTTAACTTTACAAAAATTGCAAATCTCATATAAAATTAAGAGAAATATAAAGAATGTTATAAAAATTGTAACATTTCACTGCTGTTTATGAGTCTTTGTGAGTACAAGTATAACTGTTGAAGTGTACATCTGGAAGTGATGTAAAGTCAGTGAGCTACAAATGCTAAAACACCACTGTCAAGCAATTTGTTAGAACTAGTATATGAAATATAATCTGTTTTCTCCTGGATTAGATGCAGGTCATGGAGCAGTCAGAGAGTGACCTTGAACAGGACTTTGCCAATGGAAGCACAGGAAGCTCCAGCAGCCCTGTATCCACTGAAACACAAACACAAATGGATGTCTACAAAGCCTGTATATATAGGTGACATGAGTGTCCAAATTTACACGATGCATTTTATAAATATACATTACCCTTAAAAAGTTTTTTTTAAAAGAAATTAACATTTTGTTCATCAAGGAAACATTCTGATCAAAAGTGATCGTAAAAGGCATTTCTAATGTTACAAAATATTTCTATTTCAAATAAGTGCTGTTTTTTATTTTATATTCATGTAGTGCAACTGTTTTCAACATTGATAATAATAAGAAATGTTCTTAAGCAGCAAATCGGCATATTAGAATGATTCCTGAAGGATCATGTGACACTGAAGACTGGAGGAATGATGCTGAGAATTCAGCTTTGCATCACAGGAATAAATTACATTTTAAAATAAATTTAAATAGAAAACGGTTATTTTAAATTGTAATAATATTTCAAAATATATCTGTCTGTACTGTATTTCTGATCACATAAATACAGTCTTGATGAGCAAAAGAGTTCTTTTAAAAAGATTAAAAATCTTGCTTTTGAAGGGTAGTGTATTTTGCTCTCAGACGTGTGCTGTAAGGAGTGCCTTGAACAGTGTTGTCTCTTACATGTTTCTTCTCCACCACAGACATCCCCTCTTCCCTCTCTTGGCCCTGCTGTTTGAGAAGTGTGAGCAGTCCACTCAGGGCTCTGACTGCGTAACCTCTGCCAGTTTTGATGTTGACATTGAAAACTTTGTACGCAGTCAGGAGAAAGATGGCAAAGCCTTCTTTAGTGAAGACCCAGACCTTGACAACTTGGTAAGAGATGTGGTAGATGGTAACAAAATAGCTAATATTACTATATATACCTTATAGCTTTGATCTTAACTTCAAACTCTGACAAGTGTCACAAATGTATGCTTGCTATCAGATGGTCAGGGCCATCCAGGTGCTGCGGATTCATCTGTTAGAGCTAGAGAAAGTCAGTGACCTGTGCAAGGACTTCTGCAGCCGTTACATTTCCTGCCTCAAGACCAAGATGAACAGTGAGACACTCCTGAGTGGAGAGCCAGGCAGCCCATACTCTCCAGTCCATGACCAAGTAAAAGCCATTTTCCTCTTATTTTAGACACTAACACTCACAACAAGTACTTTGATGTATTGTTTGATTTATTTATTCTTTTGCAGCTGTCCAACCCTTTCTCAAGTGTCCTCAGCCCCCAGGGTGTTGTGGCACCCTCACAAGGACTTCAAGGCAATGTTACAGTGACAGCAGTCAATCCATCACAAATGGTCGCAGGTACATGTTCATGTGTTATGAATTGCAGTGGGAGCTGCGTGGGGTTACAATCATATGAGTATATGTCATATTTGAACTCTTGCAGGTAGTTTGTGTTCAATCTGTTTGGATGTGACAAAACTATTGAGTACAAGGTGAAAATTACCAATATTTCTACACAACAATATTATTCTTTAAACACTATTTTTCAAAATGGGTGGTTATGAATAATTAAATCTGAACTGATTATTTTAAGTAATTATTTACATTGATTATCCCTATAAGACCTAAGTTTTTTTTTTTTTTTATTCATACATTGATTTTCAAATGTTTTCTTATAAACATTTTGCTGTTTATTTTATTACGTATTGTTCCATTTAAATAATTTTACACTTATTGTTGATGCATAAATGTGTTCATTTAGTAGATTATTTTTTTTATTATTTTAGGTTTCGCTTATTACATGTGAACCTTTTCAATCGAATTGGCATCAGTGGCTATTTGGTTGAAATGATGGTTCCTCAGATTTAAAAAAAAAAATAAATAAATAAATCTTGTTTCTGTGCAGGTAATGCAGTGTATCAGCCCGTGACAGTAGTCACACCACAGGGACAAGTGGTGACACAAGCCATCTCACCTGGAACAATACACATCCAGAACTCACAGGTTTGCATGACACTCCAGCAGAGCACACACAAACACATTTACTCACAGATCACAAGCAGACTCACTGATCAGTGACTCCTTCTACTTCCTGCAGCTCCAGCTTCAGCTCAATCAGGACTTGAGTTTCTTTGGGGGAGATAACTCGCCTAAAAACAAGCGTGGTGTTCTCCCGAAACAGGCTACCAGTGTCATGCGCTCCTGGCTCTTCCAGCACATAGCGGTTAGTAGGCAAACAACCATTTAAAGTCATTCTGTGCAGTTTTGTTGTACCTGATATAAATTTATAAACAATCCCTTGTTCATCTTCTTTATTTAGCATCCTTATCCCACTGAGGAAGAGAAAAAGCAACTTGCAATTCAAACAAACCTGTCTTTACTCCAGGTCAACAACTGGTAAGTCAATCCAGCAAGAACACAAAGTAGACAGTGACTCTGTTCCAGCCTCTCCGGTTGACTTGTCTACACAGGATCAACAACAGAAATTAACCACATAATCGATCAAATCTGTTGTGTATTGCAACAGAAGTGTTCAATAATATCTTAAAATGATAAGGCTTACTTTTTCATAATTTTCCAGTCGTTATTGGCACATTATTACATGTGCAAAAAACATTTGTTTTTAATTTTTCCGTTTCTTTGAATTACCAAAATAACGTGACAGACCTATTTTAAAGTTCCTAGTCTTATGTTTTTATCTCCTGATGTATTAAATACAAAATGTTTACAGTGAGTTCTCAAATGCTGTGCATTTATGTGTTTCCTTAAAATATTCAGACATCCTGCCTTCAAGTGCACCTGGGAAACAACTACCTAGCTGGGCATTTTTAATTACAATGTCATGCACAGAAGTAGCATAAACAAAGCAAAATAATGATAGTGTGAACAGTAAACCCAAATAACTACATCTGAATTTAGAATGTAAAGAATATGAATTTCTATCACTCATTTATACATGATATCATGTTTGTTACATAAACCTTGAAAGTTGCGGTCTATCAGCTTGTTCATCACACATTTAAAATGATTGAATTTCAGTATGTAAACCTAAAATAACTTGCAAAACTATTCATTGTAATTAACTTTCCGCGCACTGATATATCCTCCATGCATAGCGAGTGATGCAAAATATTGTCTGGGTCTGTCCTGTAGGTTTATTAATGCTCGAAGACGGATCTTGCAGCCAATGCTGGATGTCAACTCAGAGATGGCCAAAACCAAGAAGAAGACCGCTCAGAGCCGCCCGCTACACCGCTTCTGGTCTGACTCCATCGCCTCATCTGGAACCCAGCAGCAGCTCACAATGCCAGACGGTATGGTCTCAAAATAATGTGCTTTAAAAAAAATAAAAAATACATGTGCAGCTAATCACATGGGAGGATAGACTAGGATCATACCATTATGTGAATGAAGGAAGGGGGACACACGCTCCGAAGATAGCGATCTGACTCCATCGCCTCATCTGGAACCCAGCAGCAGCTCACAATGCCAGACGGTATGGTCTCAAAATAATGTGCTTTAAAAAAAATAAAAAATACATGTGCAGCTAATCACATGGGAGGATAGACTAGGATCATACCATTATGTGAAAGAAGGAAGGGGGACACATGCTCCGAAGATAGCGACTGTAGTGGTAAAGGCCAGGTACACAGAGCGAAAGAGTGAGGCGGGGGATCCGGATTTAAACGCAAGCGCGTTGGTTAAGGTAGGAAGACACTGTATTGTTGCAACATCGGTCCCCTTAGGGAATGTTCTCAAAAACAGGACAAATAATCGGAGAGGAGAACTCTCATCAGCACACCCAAGCTGAGGCATCTGATATTTCTGAATGCCAACCTGCACTAAAGACTAAAGTGTCTTCATGTTAAGACTTTTGCCTTTATTTATTTGATTTGTTTGCTGTGGTTCTGTGTTCAATTGTTCAATTTAAGTTTTATTAAAATGTTAAATAATAGTAACTGTATTTTTTTGTAATGAAAAAAATGCATAAAAATAAGGCTATTATAAAAACACTGAATAAAAAATTGCTTACCAACACACAAACCTTTTAAGGGAGCCGAGCCGAATCTTTGAAAGGAGCCGGACTTCCCATCACTAACTCATGCCCAAAAAGAGTCCGTTTTATATTACAGTTTTTCATTGACTGATTTTTGACAGTGGAATATATGTATTGTGATTGTGTGCAGGTAGTATGGTTACAGTGGGGATGAACGTCGATGGCTTCCAGGCGCTTTCATCAGATGGAGCAACTCTCGCCATGCATCAAGTCATGATGGGAAATCACAGCGAGGATGAATCCGAGGAAAGCGGCAATGAAGATGACGCAGATTTGTCATCTGCTAACATGACCGGGCTGGGTTTAGATGTTAGCGACTAAGACACATGGATCGCAGGTCACACACTGCATGCTTATATTTACATTGGAAAACTTGCACATAACACTTGTGGCAAGAGATCCGGTCCCCTCATAGACTTTCAGCAAAGCTGATACTTGTGCACTACAAAAAAAATAATTAAGAGTACTGTATGTTGGCCTATATTTTACACAAACACACACACGAACAGTTTACAGAGAGCACAACGTTACTGAAAGATGCTGTGTGCGAGGAGTTGCATTTCAGCACCTGGTTTTATTGTGTAGACGTGCAGGTGCGTGCACTTTTATATAGACACTTCAAGAAGTTTGCAACAATAGAATGCAGAGGAATGTTTTTAAGCTTCTTTAGTGAATGTGTGTAATGATTTAGTTTTCTATATTAACTCATTTGAATGCCAAGATTTTAAGAGTTTGTCGTCGTGCTGGTTTTATTCACACTGCATGTTCATGTTCTCTTCAGTATGCTCACGCTTGTAGAGAGGCTCCAAGACGGAGTTCGAGAAAAGAGATTATTATTTTTATATATGAACGTTGTAAAAAGTGTTATTTTTTTCTTTCTTTTTTTAGTTTGTGTTTTATAGGGAATATTTATGTACAGAAACTATACTATCTGCCCTGTTTTCAGGGGATGACTTAGGAAAAAAAATGCTGGATTAATAAACCATTTTTAAATATGTAAATTGGGTTTAACACTCACATACAAAATGCCTTACATATTCTTTTTTAAAACTATACCGCTGATAAGCACAGAAAGCCTGATACGTTGATTAAATTTAGTAAGATGTGTTAAATCAAAGTCTCTTCCAGTAATCTTCATCCGTATGCTGAAGATGTTCCTTCGTTTCAGAGGGACCTCTTTGTTTTTGCTCTGTAGGTTTATGTAGTTTGATCTAACATGTACAAAGCTTCCTTAACAATCAGAGTTATGAAAGATGCTTTGGGAATTATGGCATAAAATGTCCATATTAAAGTGAAATAAAGGTCAAATCGGAGTATTTTGCCACACCATTTTACCTTAAACGATGTTAATTGTGTGCTGTTTTTTAAACAATTATTTAAGGACTGTAAACACTACAACAGTATGACATATTAAAGCCTTTACAAAGTTTTGCAACAGTGAAAATACTTTTTGCATGGTTGGGGCCTTTGTCCTTTTTTCTCCATATTTATTGCATATTAGACATAAGCACATTGTGACTTGCGTGTCTCTGGAAATATTTGTGTATTTAATAATTCATGATACATTAGAGGAGTGTTTGGCAGGTATTTCTTAAAACAGTAGCAAGTACTGTATAAGACTACTTACACCGAATAAAACTTTTTCAGATGTGAGTGTAAGTAATATAATGATTTCTTACGCTGTGCCTCTATATGACAGAGTGACAGGTGCAGCCTGTGGCAGGGTTTGTTTTTTTTTGTGGAGTCTCTGCCTGGATTCAGTTCCTTGATGTTGCATTTCCCATAAGTATGTCTCAATAATCAGAGATGGTTGCAGAGGGATGCAGTATTTCTTCTCTCTGTATGAAATGAGGCAAAGAAAATTATAGTTTTGTATTATTCGTTTCAAACCACAAGAGGGCACTGAATCATTAGCATAACTCCTGATATCACGTGATAAGATCATGTCCTTCCTGCATGACCTTTCTGAACAAAAATAGCTTTCCCCATGTCGTTTTTACGGGGCCGCGAGGTGACATGCTGGGTTCACTTAGTTTTGTCGTGGCCACGAGATAACTCGTGGGAACGTGATAATATGTCGTGGGATTATCAGATATGGATTCATATTTTATTTTGAATTAAGAAATTATATTATTTATTATAGAAATGATTACATTATTAAATTATTGTATTAACCATAGGCCTTGGCTACCGAACTGTATTACGTGCGATAGTCAGCATTCAAATGAAGTTTATCATGATGAATAAATGTTACATAAAGTGCATACTATAAAATAGGCCTACAAGAAAACATTTTTATCCATCCTACAGTCTTGTAAGTCCATTAACTGATCGTCTTTTTCCCGTAATATTTGTATATTATCATTAGCTTATTATTGGTTATATTTTTATATTCGTTTTATATTCATTTTCCCCTTCATTTCGATCTCTTTACTTAAAGGGGTCATATGATGCGTTTTCAATTTTTCCTTTCTCTTTGGAGTGTAACAAGCTCTTGGTGCATAAAGAAGATCTGTAAAGTTGCAAAGACTAAAGTCTCAAATCCAAAGAGATATTCTTTATAAAAGTTCAGAGTCAGCCACACCTACCTA